TGCTGTTGTGAAGGCAGGCTCAGCGGAGGGATTAGTCCTCTCCCACCCTCCCTCTCTCGCTCTTTCCCCTTCTCTCCCTTGCTTTCTGCTGCTATGCAGGCCAGATCTGACCTGCAGAAACTCGCCAGACAGACAGATGAACTATCAAAGACACCCTCTTTCACTTACTCTTTCTGTCTGTCTGGCAAACAGATGCTCCATACAAGCATGCAATGAACAAAGACAGCATGAGGCGTACAAAGAGCTCATGAGACTGAAAACAGACAAACACAAACACCTGAGCACACCTGGGATGACTCACTATCAACTTGGCCAGTATTCAGGGGGTGAGCTCATGGTCCCCCTCCCCCTTCTCTTTTCCCTCTTTTGCCTTTGTTGTTTTTCCCAGAACTCACAGTAGCAGTAGCAGCAGGGAGGGGCGGGGTTTAGATTTGTCCCGCCCACAGCTCACCTGCTTCACCATATAAACAACACGACTTCATGTGCTTGTGTGTGTGACAGCGTGCACAGTTTAAAATGGTAAAACAGGGCATATAGTGTAGTGTGGAGGAGTAAGCTGTGCTATATATTTCATTTAAACTGTCCAAGAAAAAATTAGCATCTATAACATAGAAAAATGACTTTTCTCCAAAAAGTGGCAATGACACCATGACATTAGTCATGTCAAGGGCTAAGCATGTTTTAGATATAAATAATGTAAATGAGAAAAACAAATTTATAATGCACTTCTAAATTATATTTGATTTAGTATCATTTGCAGTTTCATAAGCTAACCAGGAAAAAGAAAAAAGAAAAAGAAAAAAATCTATATTCAGAGTATTTAAGCTAGTAATTTTTTAAAGATTTTATAATAGTGCTTGTATTGTACAATGTTGTATGTTCTAACAGTATTTCCTGCATTTGAGAGCACATCTTACCCCAAAATACCTAATTTAATAATTAATGGCAAAAAAAGTTTATTTATTTATTTATTTATTTATTTATTTATTTATTTATCATGGCTTCCACACTATTATGTTCACTATTATATAAATAATAATAATAATAATAATAATAATAATAATTATTATTATTATTATTATTATTATTATTATT